ATGTATAGAGCAATTGTCCTTGTTTGTATTTTTGTTTGTTTGTTTTTTTAGACAAGGCTTTACTCTGTAGCCCAGGCTGGCCTGGAACTCACGATCCTCCTGCCTCAGCCTCCTGAGCGGTGCTGGGATTACCAGTGTTCACCACCATACTGAACTTTAGAGCACTACTTGTCCTTTTCAGGTCTGTTCATTTGTAAAAGAACCCACAAGACAGAACTGTGTGCCTCCCTGAGTCTTTAGCCTATGAAATTTAATTTTGCCTTTGCTCCTGGACGTTTTAGAAACTTGGAAGGAAACTTTGGGGACTCAAAAAAGAAAATCTGAAGTCCCCTCTGTGTCATATTAATTCACTAACAACTGGGTCAGCTCCCCAAATTGACCTCAGGCTCCTGAAGCCTAAGTATCCAGTGCCCTGTGAGCCTGGATGGTTAAACTGGCTGGTGGTGCCCCTGGCAGAGGTGGGTGGCGCAGTTCACCTGGCTACCGATCGGGGCATGGATACCCAGAGTGTCTGCATGCAGAAGTCATACGCAGAGGATTCCCTCGGCCGGCCTGCCTACCCTCGCTGTTGGCACGACAGCCTCCTGTCCCTTCCCTGGGGCGTTTTCTGAACATCTTGTTACTGTACCACCCCAGCCTGGCACCTGCGGTAGTAGTCAGCCTGCTGCCCCCTGGTGGAGAAGAGAGGCCACAGCCGTGCTTGACTTGGTTGGGAACAGGCTGGAGAGAAGCAGAGTTTTCTGAAGCGCAGTGGCCGAGGTTTCAGGCATTTGCAGCCACGGAACGCTGACTTCCAACATCAGCAACGTCCCAGGTCCTTGGGGAAAACTGATAAACTGCCTTCCATCTCTGCTTGGGAGCAGGTTCACACCCGTCGCCTCAACTCCTCACATCTAAGCTATTTTGGGGGGGGGAAATGATGCTTAAAGTATTCACGTAACCGACGAGGCCTACCAAGAAAGCCAAGCCAGGCGCGATGGCACACGTCTGTAATCCCAGCACTGGGGAGGCTGAGGCAGGAGGATCGCTGTGAGCTCAAGGGCAGCAAAACAAAGAGAGGAAGAGTCCACATCCAAGCCGAAATCTTTCCAGGTCTAGAAACCCTACACTTCCACCACACAGGTCGTCTTCTGGACAGAGAAATTTGGGAAGTCTGGCACTGACAGGGCTTTGCAAAGAGCAGGCACGATCTCTGCCACCCACCTGTCACATGTGTGGGGACAGGAAGGGAGCGATCACACGGGCCGCCCCTCGGTGAGCGCAGAGGCGGCTTTGGGCATCTCGGTGCCTCCACACCGGGCTTCAGCATGAGACAGAGCCTGACAGGCTGGCTCCTGCTTTCCGCCGCCCCCGACGCAGGACCTCAGGCAGGGGCGGTTGCAGCCCTCACCCAGAGGAAGGAGCGTTCCCGGGGTTGGAAGTTTGCTTTTCGGTTCCGGCCACTGCAGCCTCAGCGGGTCTCAGACGGACAGGAAAGGAGCCCTGAAGGGAGAGGACCCTGGGGAGGGCAGGGAGGGACCAGGAAGCAGGAAATGGCATTTTACACTGAGCACCTGGCCCTGTCGCCAAAGGAAGACACGCTTGCCAGCCAGGGACAAAAGCCCGTGTGTTCTGGAGCCCAGGGAGGATCTGGTCCAGTGCAATCCCCTGTGGAGAGCCCTGGAGGTCTGCTGGGGCCTTGGGACATCCAGGGCGCGATCAGTCCCAGTGTCTGGGACTCGTTGACACCCTGGGCTTCCTTCCCCAGCTGTGGCCTCTCCTGACTTTTGAGGGGCAGCCCAGTAGCTGAGGGTTCCTGGAACAGTGGGGAAGGTGGTTTTGCCACGGGCCCAGTGACCCTCAGACCACTGGGAACGTTAGGATTCTCCTTTCTTCCTTATTCCTTCCCGTGTGTGACTCCCCCCACCCCATTCCCATCTCCTGCCCTTCCAGAAACCTGTGCCAGACTGGGCGTAATGGCACACGCCTGTGATCCCAGCCCTTAGGAGGCTGAGGCAGGAGGGTCACAGCAAATTCAAGGACAGCCTGGGCTACATCATGAGGATCCCCCATCTGAAAAAAAAAAAAAAGGGAGGGAGGAGGGAAGAAAAAAGGAAGGAAGAAAGAAAGAATTGCTAGTCAGGAGAAGAGCAGAGAGTATAAACTGCTTGGACTCCAGCTGAGCCCGGACACAGTGGGGTCCCCAGCGACAGTTACTGATTTCTGACTGAAAGCCCTCAAGCCCTCCTGGTGCGGGAGACTTCCAGATTCCAGGGTTTTTCCCTCTCTGAAGTGGATCCCCTAAAATCAGGGGTCCACAATCTTTTCCTGTACAGAGACTGAGGACCTCTGGCCTTGTGGACCACTCTGTCTCTGTGGCAACCACCCAGTGCTATAGGGGTAGGTGCTCAGGCCAAGAGCAGCTCCGTTCCAGGGAGTGGAACTTTGCTGATGGGCTCTGAGCCTGGGGCTTCATATCCTTTGCATGAGCCACAAGATGTTCTTCCTTTGACTTTTTGCAGACATTTAAAAGTACAGAGGTTGGGTCGGGGATTTAGCTCAGTGGTGCCGCTGCCTGCCTCGAAAGTGCAAAGTCCCCAATTCGAACCCAGGAACCAAAGACAAACAAACAAATAAAAGTAGAGGTCAAGCTGGGTGTCGTGGTGCACGCCTGTAATTCCAGCACTTTGGAGGCTGAGGCAGGAGGATCACTGTAAATTCGAGACCAGCCTGGGCTACATAGCGAGTTCCAGGTAAGTCTCAACTACATAGTGAGACCCTGTCTCAAAAAAATATAGAGAGAGAGGTCATTCTTAGCTCACAAGCTATGCAAAAACAGGCAGGGGGCTGCAGTAGCCTGCAGGCCACAGGCTGTCAACCGGAAGTGTTCGCTCTTGCAGCAACTGTAGATGGTCCAAGCCTTTTGGCCAACTGGGCTTTTCCAGCTACTCCAGGTTTGTCGTGGGCTCCAAGGATGATGACAGCTTTAAGCTCCCCCAAAGTAGCCTTGTCCTCTCGACTTCGCTAAGTCTTCTGAAGATCAGAGGGTGCTGGAGAGAAACCCTCCTCCCCACACACCCCATGTCATAGGCCAGGGTGTTCTCGTCCAACCTCGAACTGGTTTCCTCTGGCCCCGGTACATTTCCATCTGCTCCCTCGCAGCTCTGAGCTTTGCCAAAGTACGTGGTGCCTTCCAGCTGGGACAGGCGCCGTCTCTCCTCACTGTGCAGTCCTCAGTCCAGGGCTGCAGGAGTCCCACGGCCCACGGCTCCTTTATAAAGGGAGACGGTATAGCCCAGCTAGGCCTGGGAGGAGCCAGCCAGATTCTGGGAGAAGGGAAATTTTTTGTTTTTGAGACAGGATCTTGCTGGGTAGTTCAGGCTGGCCTTAAATTTACTATGCAGCCCAGGCTGGTCTCGAACTTACAGTGATCCTCCTGCCTCAGCCTCCTGAGTGCTGAGATTGCGGGTGTGTGCCAATAACCCCAGCTCCCCATCTTTCACATAAACCCACCTAGGAATGACACAGCCCTCCCCTCACCCAGCACATACGTGTGCAAAACTCACAGAAATGGGACACATGGGGCTCTCCCTCCTCATCCAGGCCCTCGGCCAGCTCTGCATGCAACCCTGCAGTCTTGAACAAGAGGCCTATTCAGCCGGGCTGGAGGAGAGAGGGAGGAAGACACTTCCTGCCACTGCTTAATGGCCGGGCCTGACAGGCTTTGGCTGCAGGGCCAGAGACCAGCAGCTGATAAAGGCCCATTGTGGAGCCTGAGAAACACAGGCTAAGGCGAAGAAGCCAGTTAACAGCTCCAGTTAACAGCTCTGGTGCGTTTGTGAAAAGAATTCCTTGGCCGAAGTCAAGGCAGAAAGAGGCCCCGGGCTGCACTGGGAAAGAGGCCCCGGGCTGCACTGGGACGTGCCTCTGGCCCGCCTGCCACCCAAAGAGCTGACAGGGCCAAAAAACCCCAGGCTGTGCAGGGCGCTGTCGGCTCAGGGCTCCCCACACCTAGAGGATGAAACCCAGTCTCCCACCAAGTGCGGAAAGCACACAAGGGCTCTTTAAAAAGGGCTGGGGGGCGGCGACGAGAAGATTCCGCAGCCCGCACCTGAAGGGTGTGCAGAACAGAAACAGGCAGGGAAGGCAGAAGGGTGCAGAGCAGGAGCTGGTCTGGAACTCATTTAGGAATTAGACTTTCTGCTCAGATCTTCAGCCGAACTTGGGGTACAGGTGCCTCCTGTTCGCAGGGCCTCACCATTCAGATGGTAAAAGTGGCCCCTGCCAGGAAAGAGATGCCGAGGCCTGGCTCCGCCCTGCACCCTGGAGGGATGCTGAGGGCCGGGCGAGGCTGAGCGCCGCTCCTGCTGGGAGAGGTACAGGTGAGTTCACCTCACAGCCGCACATCGAGGCATCCTGTCCGGCTGCCAGCTGGCCCCGGCCCTCTGGGAGACAGAAATACAGAATCCAGGTGGACAGTGGCCCAGGGGTGACCGGGCACCTAGGGCAAAGGTCGGCGAGCAGGCTGGCAGAGCGCAGCTGCAATTTCCTGGTCACCTGCGGTGGGCAAGGATCGTTTCCCCAACCCCGGCCTGCCGCTCTCCCTCGCCAGCATCCCCAGTGCATGAGCTCGATTTCAATGCCGAGGCATTTCCGGGTCCCATGTCACCGGACCAAAGCACCTAGCCACACAAATGTGACTGAACAGCCAGCTAGAGCAGGCAGGACAGGGCGTGTACACTTCCCTCCTGCCTGGGGGCGCTGCTGAGTTGGCGGCCAGGCACTTCCTGTTGGAACCAACAGGCACAGAGTAGTGAATTAACCTCCCCTGCCCTTACCTCCTAGGAACCAACCTCACCTAAGATATCACTGTGATCCCATCCTAGCCGGGGCTGGATCCTGAAACCAAAGCCTTTCTGGATGCTCCGCCCCGGCTGGTGACACAAACGTGCACAGGCAAAGACAGCTAGGACGCTCTGTTCTCATCCCACCGAAAAAACAACTGGCACCGCAGCTGGAAGGTCTGGGTGTCGTTTATTGACAGCGGTTTACACACATTTATTTCTTCCCATGATTGATTCCTGGGGGGCCCAGGGGCAGCCCCGGGGAAGGGCGTTCTAGCGAGGAGCAGGAACATGGGATGCACGTCTTTGGCCGGCCCAGGGCCGGCAGGATGTGATATTTCGAGCTGGAATCCCGCCGGGCGTTGGAGCCGGAAGTCTCCAGCAGGACGCACCTCGGCCAGGGCCTCCTCTGGCCTCGCTGTCCAAGTCTGTCCCGGTTTTAGGACCCTGAGGGACAGCAGAGCCACGCCCACCCACCTGGAAAGGGGCAGGAATCTCGTTGCCCAGCGAGGATGGAGGCCAGCAGGCCCGAGCCGCTCTGCACAGGCACCTGGCAGTCTCGGGTAGGGAGGCGGAGAAAAAGGTGGGAACAGGAAGAATGCGAGACCTTCCTCGGATAATCAGAGGGCTGAAGGGATCTCACTTTTATTTCCGTCGTCACAGTGATTCTTTTCTGGGGCGGGGCGGGGCAGAAGGGGCCCTGGGGCGGCTCACTGGGGCAGCTGCAGGAGCACCGACTGCCCGGCCGGCAGGTAGGTGATGTTGCGCGAGCGAGACAGCTGGTAGGCGATGTCCTCGGCGGCCTCCAGCTTGCGCAGCTCGATCAGGCCGTCGCCCGCGGTGGCAAGCGAGTTGGCGATCAGCTCGGCTGCCTTGGAGTCTCCCTCGGCAGAGATGATGGCTGCCTTCTTCTGCTGCTCGGCCTAAGGGGTGGAGCAGAGGGACACGGACACCTCAGGGCCCCGGGTGTCAGGGTGCCCACCCCGGAACCCACCCGCCCCCGCCAGCCAGGTAACTGTCAGGGTTGCCTTTCCCTCACCCCCAGTCAAAACAACTTCCATCAAAAGCAGGCGGGACTGGGCCAGGGGTGTAGCTGAGAGGTAGGGCACGCACCCCGCGTTCACGAGGCCCTGGGTTGCAGCCCCAGAACCACAAACAGGCCCAAATCATAGAGCACGCTGCAAGCACCAGCAGAAGGGCTGGGCCTGTCGCAGGCCCCGGGGACAAGCAGGCGCACACGGGGCTCACGGTCCCCACGGTCCGATCAGAGGTCTCGGATTAGGAACACTCGCGTGAGGGAAAGGACAGCAAGTCAATCCACCTCTCCAAGCAGGGGAGGACCAGGCCACCTGCAAACACACCGCGTCCCGGGACGCTCGCACACATCTGGACGGGCTCAGCCCGAGCTGAGCGCATGTGCTGCACCGTTTGATCTCTGTTGCCGTCAGCTTTCACTACGGAACCGTGGTTACAAGTGACTCCTCGCTGGAGCCGGAAGCCTTCCGGGGGTAACATTTTTATGTGTCGCTCAGAGTTTTTGATCTCGGGCAAGTGGGAAGAAAGCGACCCTTCACGTGTCCCTGATGAGCCCCGAAGGCTCTGGAAGCGATTGCAGGAGTGCGGCCCCTTCAGCCCCCTTCCGTGGTCCCGGAAGGACAGATGACAGATGATGAATTTCCAGGCCACCCAGCAGACGGGGAGCAGAGGGGGAGCGGGGGAGAGGGTCCGCCATCTGGCCGGGCGCTCACCTTCTCCACCACGAATCTGGCCCTCTCCGCTTCCTGCTGAGCCACCTGCTTGGCTTCCACGGCCTCTGTGAACTCCTTCCCGAAGGTCAGATGCGTCTGCAGGGAGAGCACCGCGGCTGAGGCGTCCGGGACACAGGAGTCATCTCGAGCCACCCTCCACCGCCCTGGCCTGTCCACGCCCCAGGGGCCTTGGCTGCCCCACCTCGGGGTGGCCACCTCGTGCAGAGAACAGCACCCCGGGCTTTGGAGGGGCCTGGAGCAGCGGGAGGCATCTCCTCAACCTGGCACCTCCCCAGAGGAGAGAGGGGCTTCCGGACCCCCGCCAGCGCTCTCCCAGGATCCTCGGAGGCCCTGTGCAAAGCCGGGCAGAAGCTGAGCCCAAGAGCCGGGGAGGCAGCCAGTTCCCAGGGACCCGGAGCCAAGGCCCCGCTTATGAATTAACCAGCCCCTTCCTCCCGGCACTGCTGCGGTACACAGGAAGGAAGGGGCCACGGAGATAGGGCGCAAATTACAGCCTTCCCGATATGCGAGTGCTTCTGGGAAAGAGTTTAGAAGGTGGAGAAGGCAGGTAAAGCCATTGGCCAGGGAGAGGGCTTCGGCCTGATTACTGAGACCTCCCCTGGTCACATAAATCACCGGGACTTGGCCGAGGCAGCCGCCTCTAAAGACAGGACAGACACTGAGAACAGATCTCAGAGCTCACAATGCCTGGCTGGCCTGGAACGCTTTTCTTACTTATTCAACTTTTATTGGAAAAAAAAAAAAAAACAAAGGGAAAAGAGCATTGGTTTTGCTATCAAGTGTTGCTGCATTTGCTCTGCTGCCTTCCCAACCTCTGTTTTTTTTGTTTGTTTGTTTTCAGGTTGGTCTCGAACTTGTGGTGATCCTCCTGCCTCAGCCTCCCAGGTGCTGGGATACAGGCACCCATCACCATACCCAGGCCAACCTCTGCTTTTTTTTTTTTTTTTTTTTTTTTGGTACCAGGGATTGAAATTGGGACCTTGTACTTGTGAGGCAGGCAACGGCACCACTGACCTACATTCCCAACCCCAACCTCTGCTTTTTAAAAATATAAGCAGCCCCCAACTTCTCCCGAGGGTAACGCCCACCCGCGTGTCTTCCACAGGCGTTAATACCAACACCTAACTTCAAAACTGCAGCTGCTCTACCCTGCCTGATCCACTCTGGGACTCTTAATGTCTGGGTAAGAAAATGCGACCCCGAGGAATGGAAAATGAAATGTACAATTAAGGAATACAATTTCCTTCTACGAGGGCCAGCTGAGGGCAGCAAATTCCCCAGGAAATCTAATTTTCTCCTTACATCTCTTACACACGGCTTCTTGCGGTCAGCCCGCGTCTCCCCAGAATGGAGTGTGTGGTCGCAGTCTAGCACAGCGCCAAGCTCTGCCTCAGGCTTTTTCCTAGTCTGCCGCTGCGCCCTGGGCTCAGGTTGACAGCAGGTAGGGAGCGGGGCCTGCAGCTCGCGGGGCTGCAGGCAGGGGGCGCCCCGTGCCGTCCCCCTGGAGCCATGGAGCCGGGGAGGCTGAGGAGAGCCTGGGCAGGCTGCTGAGAACCAGTGTTTAAACAGCTGCACAGATGCGGAGGGGAAGCAGTGCTTTCCCGAGCAACACACAGGAGACCTGGACAGGAAACTACCTCATTACCCGAGCAAATCATTGCAAATGAGCTTTCCCAGAGAGTCTAGAAACTCCAGCCCTCCCCTCCACCTGAAATGCTACCCTGCCTGTCCTGCCTTCTGCCCAGTGAGGGCCTTGGCCTCACGTACATCCACGCTCTGTGGGCTCTCAAGAGGCCGGCAGGAGTCCCCTGCCCCACGCCGGCCCGGGGACAGCCTGCTCCTTCGTCCCCTATCGCCTCCCACCAGACTGGCTTCTCTGCGGGGAGGTGGGTGCCGGGGAGCACTCACAGTTGGTGCTTAGGGACCCTCTGGGAAAAAGGAGCGTGCTGGACGAGAGGCCAAAACCTCAGGTTTTCGAGTCTCGCACGTGGGACCCAACCTTGCCCAGGCCGAGCCGGGCACCCGCAGGAAGCGGGGCCCCTCCGCAGGGCTCCCCGCGATCTTACCAAGGACACGTCGTCCAGGATGAGCCCGAAGGTGGCCGCCCGCTCGGTGAGGTCATCGCTCACCTGCCTGGAGACCAGCTCCCTCTGGGTGATCAGCTCCCCGGCATCAAAGCGGGCCTGGGTGTGGGCAGAGGGCGGGCGGGGTCAGCGGGGAAGCGGAACTGGGCGGTGCCAGCCCCCCGCCCCGCCCACTCACCACCACGGACTTGAGGATCTCGGTGGTGATGGACGGCAGGACGCGCTCATCGTAGTCCTCGCCGATGCTGGTGAAGATGCGGGGGAGCTGGCTGGCCACGGGCCGGAAAAGGATACGCAGGGTGATGTTGACGTTCTGCAGATCTGAGGGACCAGCGCTGGGGTTAAACCCCTGGGGGGACACGTGGCCTCTTTGCTCACCTGTCTGAGCCTAAATCTGCTACAATCCATAAGCAAACTGGCTCCCGGATAAGACCTTAGGGGCCAAGGTGCCGGCGCGCCTGGTTTTCTCGGCAGAGAAGCCAGCAGCGTGCTGCAGAGTTAAGACTTTTTGTTTTGTTTTTTTGAGATGAGGTCTTGCTATGTAGCCCCGGCTGGCCTCAAACTTGCAGAGATTCTCCCGCCTCAGCCTGCTGGGTGCTGGGATTACAGGTGTGCGCCACCACGCCTGAGCTGGGAAATTCTTAAAAGGATGTGGTGATGACACTTTTCTGTATGTTCCAAGTGCCCTCGTGTAAGAACAATTCAGATGAGGCTAACGGGTGCCAGGCGACGTCTGCAACCTGAACAGTTTTAAGATGACAAGCGAGGTCGTGCGTGACCTCAGTTTGTCCACAGCCCTGGACAGCATGTACCAAGTGGCCACGAGACGGAGTCTGGCCAGGCCACCAAGACAGCGGGAGATACAGACACACAGAAGCCCCTCCTCTCTCAGCAACGCCGTTAGAAACAGGTACAGAATGCGCCCTCAGAACAGTCACAGGCCAGCAAAGAGAGAAACCCAGTTTAGAAGCAGGCCGTTAGGGCTGACGCGTCTCCGCCGCTCCTACCACCTTTCATTCCCTCTTTGGAGCAGGCAAAGCCGGCGCCTGATGGGAGGCTCCCCCACCCCGCCAGCAGCTGCTGACCACTTCCAACTTCCGCTTCCTGTCTGCAGGCCCCTGGGACACGGCCTCCTCAGGGCAGGCGGCTGCATTCGTCTGTGCGCCTCTCCTTGTTTGCACACCTGTCTTCCTCGGTAAACTGAGGCCTTAATGGCTCCTGCTTTAGTCTGCTTTTAGTGCTGCCCTACTCCACTTTCCAGCCGGGCTCCAGGCCTGGCACAGGAGTAACCAAACATCTGAAGAACAGCGCTGGAGGGCAGCGTGATGCTCACAAACTGACACGCAGTGACCCCCTCCTGCTGGGCGTGGTGGTGCACATCTGTAATCTCAGCACTCTGGAGGCTGAGGCAGGAGGATCGCCATGAGTTCAAGGATAGCCTGGGCCACACAGTGAATTCAAGGCCAGCTGAACTACATAGCAAGACTCTGTCTCAGAAAAAAAAGCTTACTATGTAACTCTTCATGCAAATCTTTGTACTTTCGTCTAAATGTGTCCCGCTGTCAGTGCGTGTATTTCTATGAATCCATATAAACCAATCCAGGCCAAACACGCTAGATTTCTATGCAGTGAAATTCAACTTGGTCTGGACCTTAGAGCCGGCAGAAGGGCACAGGTGACACTCACCTTTGCTGCCAGTGATGACTGGCACGTTACGGGGTCGGGAGCGGCAGTCAAAGATAATTGGTTTCTGTACCCAAGGGATGAGAAAGTGAGTCCCTTCCCCCACCACGATGTCCTGGACTCCACGGAACCGGTCAAAGATGACAGCTCTGTGCCCGGCGTCCACTAGGCAGGAAGATAATGACAGGTCAGGAAAACTCCCTCAGCCCAGAGCCAAGGACCCAGTCTCTGAAAGACCCGGCTCACTTACTGCGTCGCCCCTGTCCCGCTCTGCCTTAGGAACGTGCGGTCTCTGGAAGGTTCTAAACAGCAGTGTACCTCAGTGATCACTTCCCGTCCCAGCTGCCACCCCAGGGCTTCAGGAACAGGTCTGTGCTTCAGCCTTTCTTCTTCACGGAAGTGGCTGTCGACTTTCTGATTCTCTATCCCACCTCCCACCTGTGCATTTCCAGGAATCATCTCCCCAGACACCTGCAACTCATGGGGATCTTTACTGTTCGCCCGAGGCCATCCTGGCTCCAGTGTTCCCAGAAGCAGGAACCCTAAAATTTTGGCCCCACTCTTTCTTCTGATAGCTCAGTTTCTCTAAAATTTTAGAGCCATCTTGTTCATTCGGTGATGGCAACGGCTGAGTACCTATGCAGATGCACGGAAAAGGGTCAGGGCAGCGAGGAGTTGCCATAAACACCCAGCGGGCTTTTCTAATTAGCCTGTCTTTCCCTCTCTGAACTTCAGAGTTGGTCCAACAAATACCTTGCCTCTGAAAATAACCCTACCTACTTTTTTTTTTTTGAGGCAGGGCCTCACTATGTAGCCTAGGCTGGCCTGAAACTCACAAAGATCCTCCTGCCTCAGCCTCTCAAATTAGTGGGATTATACAGGCATGCGCCACCATGACCAACCAAAATAATCCTACTCCTGTCAGACAGCCGCACACTGAGAAGGACCGAACCACTGGTGCTTTGGGGAGTGGAAATTACAGAACGGTGGACTTCTAAGTGGTCCTAGAGATAAACCGGTTCAACCCCACTGTCGGACCAGTGAGGAAGCTGGAGCCTACAGAGGCGATGCAAGGCCTCCTGGTACAGTGGAAGAAGAGCCAGCGTAAAGCCTGGCCTTGCAGTGAAAATCTGCGCAGTGCACCTCTCAAGTATTTTCTTTGGAACGAGACAGCAAACAGCTCCTGCTCAGGACGAGGTCACCCAGATGGGTCTCACGCCTGTGCTGACCCATCCCAGCATGGGCAGAACAGATGCGACCCCCATTCCCACAGGCCAAGGAAATCCAGACGCCGCACCGGCACTGGGGGTGACACGGCATCACTGCAAACCGACACAGACAGTCGGTGGGCGGGAGGCTCTGAGAGAACCTTGGCCGACGGGGCAGGGGCTCTGGTGACCACACAGCCGAATGGTGCAGTGCGGCAAAGGGAGAGCCCTCTTGGCCACACACATACCACCGACAGCAGCTGCCATAGGAGTGTCACGCGGGCCAGAGAGAGCACCGCCACCCCTGGCCTCAGCAGCTCACCGTTATATAAGGCAGAGTTCACCACGCCTCCCGCAACGGCTAAGGCCAGGCCGAATTTGCCGATGGACTCAAAGAGTTTTGCAGCCATGTTTCCTTCTGCTGGCCCCACTCACACCTAAGAGAGTAAAACACAACCAAATGAATTAACTGGACCGCAGATCCACATAAGAAGTCTTCTCCGTGGTACAACATGAATTTCCCACTCCTGAATCACTCGCTGAAGGCCAACGAAGAGAGGACACGCTACAGCCAGCCAAGTGCAACCGTTCCTCTGCTGTTTTTCTTCTGCACTTTCTTCTTTTCGGTCATCTAAGGGGTGGGGTCTGGAAAACCATTCAATAACGGGCACGATGTACTAAACCACATCTTTGGACAAAAAGGCCCTAAGAGCGGCTGACTCATCTTCGCTCCGAAAAATAACTCAAAGAATTTGTTACAGCGATGATGCCGGCAACAAGAGACAGCAACAGCTATGAAGGAATTATTCCAGATGAGGAAACGCGGGTGCAGAGAGGGGACGCGATCAGGATTAGAACCCAGGCTCTAATTCCACTGGGCCGAGTTGAATCCTTCCCCTCACACCGCTTCCCCGCTCCCTGGTATAAGAATGATCTGCTGTTACCCAAGCAGGACGGCATTCTGGGACCAGGGTAACAAAAGGATCCACTGGGCACCGAGGCCCTAAGGAGCTGCCCGGCGCGGCGGCGGAGCTCTGCAGACCAGGGGGCCGGGAACGAGCGGGCCTACCAGGAAACTACTTCAGGCTCAACTTTCCAAGGCCCCGCCCCCAAACCTTCGCCGCCCCGCTAGCAAATCCTCCTTCCCTCGGCTCACACCTCAACCTCGAGTCTACGGAACCCTGATCTCCCCCTGCGCACCCATCTTCCGCCCCCAGGCCGGGGCACCGATCCTGTCCATTACTAACAGCTTCTGGGTTTTTCCTCCCGCTGCGCAACCCCTGGCTTGCTCTGGGTTCAGCTCCTTTCCCTACCCCAAAAGCAAGCCCATGCACGCAGTTCACAGACCCAAACTGAGTACAAGGAAGCAGAGGAGAACGACTCAGACGCCCAGACATGGGCCTAGATCAAGAGCACCATTCACCTGGTTCCACGCTGACCTCCACATGAATTCCCCAGCCGCGTCTACTGCGCACGCGCCGCGCCGCTCCTCCTCTGAGCTTTCTCCAAGACGCTCGCCTTCGATTGGTGAGCCCGAGCGCGGTGAACTCTGGGAAACGTGGTTTACACCCGTGGGCTGTCCCGGAGCTCTTTTGTAGATGAACTACAATTCCCAAAAGGCCATACGGCGACTGCCCCCTCCCCCGTTTAGGAAAGCTTTTCCTCTCTGGTGGTAACCTGTGGGATGTTGCCGCAAAGCTTTATGGGGGGTGTAGTTCCCTGGTGATAAATGCACGTTCCGGTTCTGAACCAAGGCTGGGATTTAGGCAAAATGAGTTTCAGTGCCCCAGGGAGGAGAGACGGGGCCTCTGGCTGATGGCAAAGATGCCAGGGCGAATTTATGGCGGGCGAAAGAGGACGAGTGGACACTTTGGAGAAGTTGTAATGAAATAACTGGTGGACTGAAACGACCTTGTGGAAAGCTAAGGGCTACACTCTTTCCAAAGTCCTGCCTGGGAACTTTCCTGTTGTGCGACTTTAGAACCTTAGAAATGATCTGGACTAGAAAACAGAGGAAGGATTCCTTCAGAGTCATGCGCAGAGTGAGCAGAGCGGGGCTTGGCTTGGAACCCAGGTATAATGGACACAGTTCTTTAAAAACCTGTATTTGGAAAAGTTGTACAACATGTGCAAAGAACACACGTGTATCCTTTCTCAGACTCACCTGTTGTTGCATTTTGCTTTATCTTCTTTCCCTCTTCTCCCCTCCGCACTCCTCTCTCCTTTCCCTTTCCCTGCTCTTCTTTTTCCTTTCTTCTTCCTCTGACTCCTCCCTCTCCTGCCCTCTTTTCTCTCCACCTAGGGCAGTGTGGGTTTTCTAAGAGTAAGGACATCGTGCCTGAGTAGATGTAGTCTTCCGTCTGCTTCCAACTTTGTCAGCTGATCCAATCATGAGCTTCTTATTGCTCCCCGCCAGTACAGGAGAAAATGAAGTACTGTGTCTGTCTCTCATAGCTCTTTAGTCTGCTTTGCTCCCAAAGTTTGCCTCAGCCTTCCTTTGCCTTTTATTGCATTTTTATTTGTTTGTTTATTTTTTGTGGGGGTTTTTTTGTTTTATTTGTTTGAGACAGGGTCTCACTATGTAGTTGAGACTGACCTGGAACTCATTATATAGCCCAGGCTGGTCTCGAACTCACAGCGATCCTCCTGCCTCAGCCTCCCGAGTGCTGGGATGACAGGCGTTTGCCACCACACCTGGTTCTTTTATTACATCTTTTTTTTGTACCGGGTATCGAACTCAGGTCCTTGTGCTTGGGAGGCAGTCACCAGAACCACTGAGCTAAATCCCCGGCCCTATTACATTTTAAAAAAGGGATGTTTCTCATTTTGGAATTGTGTGGTGTTTTCTCATGATTAGATTCGGGTTTTGTGTTCTTGGCTAGGATGTTACAATGACGTAAGGACACTTAACAAAACCAGAACCATTTCCGGATTCTACTGGGATTGGATTCCTTCCATTTCTTTTCCTACGTTTCTCCACTCTCTGTCCTTCTTTGGTGCCTGCTCCCCATTTACACAATCAGAAGGTCAGAGATGCTCTTCAGGTTGTACAGATTCTTACTAATCAACCCCAACTTTTTCCTTGGCCCTCTAGCGTCTAAGAGAGCTGGAAGCCTGACATCTTTATCGTTCTATTCTCAGCACATACAACAGTGCTTGACATGTAGTAGGTACTCAGCGGGGTATTTGCTGAATTAATTAATGATGAAGGGCATTGAAGACAGGCTGTAGCTGGAAAACACACGACAGAGTGCTCCAGCATCTTGCAAAAATAGCCTTAGTATTGCTTGTCTCTAATTCAGTCTCCATGCCAGGAAGGCCGAACATTTTAAACTAACCCGAATTTTGAACAATTTTCAAGTCTGTATAACATAACAGAATTAAAATCTATTATCCCTACTCTCTCTCCTCTCTCTCTCTCTCTCTCTCTCTCTCTCTCTCTCTCTCTCTCTCTCTCTCTC